ATTCGAACCCGCCACTTTAGGTGTATGTGGCTGGCGCCTTAGCCACTTGAGCCACAGGCACTGAGACCTAAAAATTCTTTCACAATGACATCTGCTGCTTGACATCTGCTGACCTACCCTCGCCTCTGTTTTTGCCTCTCAGGCATCCCTCTCCTCTCCTCACGATGCCTCTTATCCTACAATCCAGCCCTGGCACACTGTTTGGTGCCTCGAACTCACATATCCTCTCTCACCTCTGGCCAAGCAGTTTCCTGGGTCTTTCCACTCTTTCCACTCTTCTTCCTGCCTCACCCCTCAGGTCTCAGCTTGGATGTCACTTGGGACACTCAAGATGAAGTCAAGATGCATCTGGACTGTGGGCCACCCCTCTAGCACCCCAACCTCTGCCCTGCACACGTGCACACACACACACACATACGCAGATGCACACACCTGCACACACACGGATTAGCCTTGTATACGCTCATCACTGCCTGCTCATATGTCTGCAGCCCCCACTAAGCTACTAGAGGGAAGAACTTGTGACCACTTGGTTCACATCGGTATCCTTAGTGATTAGCAGAGTGCATAATAAGTATTTGTTAATGGTAAAGTTACCAGAGCCATTCTCAACACACACATTTATACATATGTACACATTCACACATATATATATGGAAAACTATAAATACAAAAAGTAGTATAGATATTACAAATATCAAGTTCCGTTTTTCTTTTTTAATGCTGAAATGCAGCACAGGTGTTTAAAAGCTAGGAATCCATATAAACTATATAGAAAGTTCATACAAAAACTTTATTTTTTTTTTTTAAGACAGTAACAGAGCAGGACTACTCACCCTCCAAATTTTGTGTAAAGGGAGACCGTGTACAAGCCTGGTTGACTGGAGTCCCTTACCATAAAACCACCTTCTTTATCCTGAAATCCAATTCAAGGAAAAAATATTTACTGCATTGTTAAAGCAATGCCATGGAGAAGATTCAAGAACCCAGTTTTGATCATTTATTTGTGTTTCTCAGAAAATCTGCTTTGGGGAAGAGAAACTTACCAATGGGGCGCTTTGGTTTCTCCCACCCACAGGACTTTCTACTTCAAATTACGGGGGAGCCCACCAAGTGTAGGGGACATGCTGGAGTGCCCACAGGGACAAATTCTCCACTTGACAGTCCTTTGCGGAGGATTTTCTGGCAAGAGTCCTGTGAGTGCCTCCCAGCGACAACCATTGGGATTTTGGACTAGAGAATTTCCAGTAGAGGAGTATTCACTGCCTCGCTATGGGACATTAAACTGACTTCTGTGACTAAAAAAGCAAGATGATCTTGTCACCTGAAATAACCATGCTGTCCTGGGCCATGTCTGGGACATGGGACATGCCCAGAAGAGTTCTGTAATGGAACATAAACGATTCATACAAGATCATGTTACATAACTAAAACTACCAGAGATAAGAGAAACAATTCTATACAGAGCATATGGAGAGAAAGAAAGAAGTGTTTTGATGGAGAAAGTCATAAAAAAGACACAAGAATGTGGTTTTTGCTTGTGCAAGGAAAAGGCCCTCGTGAGTAGAGGCCTCTTTTTCCCCAAGGCTGACTCTGGGCCTGCACTGGGAGCTCCTGGATTCCAGAGCCCAATAAGCAGCT